GAGTCCTGACTCCCATTTTCTACCCCACCATCACAAATAAGTTTAAGTTTGTTTTTTAATCAACCATCCGCAAAACAATCCCACGTTTTGCTGAACCGTACCCTGATTGCACCAAAGCAAGGCTGATCCCAGACCAGGGGCGCTGAGCTCCCACAATCATCCATTGGGAGCCGCAAGGCGCCCCCTGCAGGGCCCCAAAATAGCACCACAGCCCATGGCCTCCCGTTACCCCCTGGTTTGCTTTCCCCCTCCGCGGGGGGAGACCGCACAGCTGGCACGGACCAGGTGCCCCTGGGGACAAGTCTGGAGAGCCTGTGGAGGCCAGCGAGTCGCATGCTGCTCTGATACCCGCTGACTCCCCAGCCGGTGTCCATCAGCCCAACACCGGTTTACTCTCGCTGAGGATCCAACTCCGAAATCTCTCCCGCGTGGGGATTTCTGCCATGGCCAGTGGACTGAGCTCAGTGCCATGGTCAAGATCCCCCCTCGCACCGACCACGGGGCTCCCTGGTCCCTCTTCAAACATCTGTCTCAAAGGCCTTGATGAGGACATTGTGGGCGTCCCTGGCGACTTCGTCGAGGAAGCTGCGGAGCATGTAATAGGTGGTTCCGAAGGAGATCCCCCCGGCCGCCATGGACCCGAACACTGGCACCGTGCTGGCCAGGTACTCTATGAACATCAGCGCTCCCCCTCCGGCTTTGGTCAGCAACTTCAGCACCAGGTCCCTGGAGATCTCCTTGACCAGAGGCGACTTGATGGCCTCCTTGATGTCCTCCACAGGTTTGCCCACCTTCTCGGCCAGCTTGCAGAGCGACTCGTCGTCCAAGCCGAAGGTCTGGCGGTACTCGGAGAGGGTTTTGACCAGGATGGTCACGTCGCAGACCACCGAGAGCCCCGGGATGGGGACAGCGGCCACTCCGCAGGAGATGGCAGCCAGCTTCCAGATCTGCCTCTGCATGGCTTCCTTCTTCCTCTGCAGGATGCTCAGCGAAAGGTTGGGCAAAGCCAGGAGGAACGCGTGTCTTTTGTGGGCAGGCAGCTCCTTCTCCAAGGTCTCCTCCAGTGCCAGGAAGTCGTAGCTGCCCAGCTCCCAGCTGGAGAGGAGGAAGACAGTCGGGGAAGCCACCCCTTCGGCCAGGAGCCGCCGGCAGCAGTCGTCCCGGATCTGCGTCAGGACCCCCTGCTCGCTGTAGCTTGCCGGCCGCCGCCTTCTGGCCGCGTCCAGGTCGGCGTCCACCTTGGAGCGCACGAAGTAGAAGCGCTTGCCCATCTTCTGGATCTCCCGGGCCAGCTGGGCGTGGTTGGCTCGGAAGCGCTCGGAGGCGATGAGGATGAAGAAATCATAGCGGGAGAAGCCCACCCGCTCTAGGTAGGCGTGGGACTGGAACTCCGAGGTGCCGATGCCCGGCAGGTCCCACATCGTCACGTTGGGATGCTTGGGGTGGGGGTACGGGGTCGGCTCCATGGTAGTCTCCACCACCCCCGTGGCAGCCGCTCCCTCGTCATCATCCTGCAGGCCGCGGATGGCGTTGACGAAGGAGGATTTGCCGGAGCCAGACTCCCCGGTCACGGCAATGTCCAGCTGGGCGTTCTCCAAGTCCTCCAGGCTCTCCAGGATCTTCGAGGCGGCTTCGTCCAGCCGTCCCCCTTCCAGGGCGTCTCTGATCTCCGCGATGTCCTCGTCGGTGATGATGTCATACTCCTCCGTGAAGTTGCTCTCCGGGGGCGTCTGATCAGCCATGGGGCTTGGGAGAGCGCTTGGGGGGGCAGAGAGATGCAGAAGTGGGGGTTAATGTAGGGAAACAGGACACGGGGGCTTTCCCCTCTTGAGGACGCCGGCTCCTATCCAGCCCCAGCACGAGGACTGGCTGGCTGGCTTGGGGGCAGGGAATGGGGCATGGGGGCCTGTCCTCTCTAGGGGCCGCTGGCCCCATTTCAGCCCAGAGCAGGGGCCTGGCTGGCCACTGGGGGGTGGGGGTGGGCAAAAGCCAGGAACCCAGGCCAGGGCACTGCTGGGCTGCGCTCTTCACCTGCCCCCACCCGCATCTTCGCCACACGTCTCCTGAACGTGGCCCCCCGTCCCTGGGGGTTTAGGCAGAAAAGGGGGGAGGGTTCCCAGTTTGCACCCTCCGGCCAGTCTGGGTTGCTCGCTGTCCAGCCCCGTGGTGCACTGCCTGGGTCCCCCCGGGCACAGCCCCATTTGGGGTGGTGGAAGGATGGATGGGGGGGGTCCCCGCGGGGTCCCCGCCCTGCTCTGATTCAGTCTGTCCCCATCTCTGCCCCCTGGCCCCCCCTCTGTCTGCCCCCCTGATTCCACCCCGGCTCCCCCTCCCTCTGCTCCCCATTCCGACCCCTTTACCCCCTGCTTCTCCCTCTGCCCCCCAGCTCCTCCTCCGTCTGCCCCCCGATTCCACCCCCGGCGCCCCCCTCCGTCTTCCCCCCCAGCTCATCCTTCGTCTGTCCCCCGATTCCACCCCCGGCTCCCCCTCCCTCTGCCCCCATTCCGACCCCTTTACCCCCTGCTTCCCCCATTCTTCTCCCTCTGCCCCCCGAGTCTACACCCGCGGCTCTCCCCCTGTTTCCCCCCCTCCTTTCACTTTCACCCCCCAGCCCCGTTTCCTTCCCCCTCTCTCCGGCTGCCCCACCGGCCCCGGCTCCTTCCCTCGCCCCGTCCCTGCTTCCTTCCCCGTCTGTCCGTCCCTGCTTCCTTCCCCGTCTGTCTCTGTCCCCCGTCCCGGGGGTTACCTCCCGAGTGGGGCCAGATATGTCCTTGTCCCACGCTGGGGGCGACCCGCCGGCTGGAGACTTTCACTTTCGTTTCCTCTGTGGGTGTGTGTGTGTGTGGGTGTGTGTGTCGTTGCTGCCCCCTGCTGGACGGAAGGAGCCCTGCTCTGTGTGTGTGTGTGTGTGTGATTGCGCACACGCACCCCTGCTGGAAGGAATTAACTCGGCTGTGTTTGTCCCTGTGCCCCTCCTAGAGCAAATCCCCACAACCTCCGCCCCCTGCCCTGTCTGAGCCCAGCCCGCCGCTCATTTACCAGCTGCCGGCGTGTTTAACCTTGTGCCACCGGGCAGCTCCCCCCGCCAGGGACCCACACGGCTCATCTCCTCCTCCAGCAAGGCCAAGCCCAGCTCTGTTCGCTGCACACAGCTAGGGTGACCAGATGTCCCGAGTTTGGGGGCTTTTTCTTATATAGGCTATTACCCCCCACCCCCTGTCCTGATTTTTCACACTTGCTGTCTGGTCGCCCTACACACAGCGGATTTCATCCCCTCCCCGCTGGGCCCTGGTCACTTAACAATCCAGCCTGCGGCTTGCTCAGAAAAACCAGTGCAGCCGTGCGTGCGTGAGACCCCTCGTGCCACCCACTGGTGCTCAACACCGGGAGGTGCGGCACTGTTCATTCACAGTCACTGAACGCGGCGGGATTCACAGAGCGACAGCGTTTATAACCCAGAAAACCCACCTACGCCGGCAGGCTGCGTTCTCCGTCTCGTGGGAGCCTCCAACATAAGCTATAGCACTCGTCTTGCAAGGATTATTGCCTCTCCCTTCCCCCGAATTTCCTGCTACCGCGAATATTTAAAATAGATAAAAATGGGGCGGGGGGGGGAATGTGTCACACACATAATTTGGCACAACTGTGAACGTGTAAATGGCTACAAATAAAAAAACTTAAAAATACGGAGCGATATTATCCATCAAAATTGTATATAAACAAATCGAATTCTGCGGCGCCTGAATCGATCCTGTGTGTGGTGTCGGCCGTGTTGCGTGTTCCCTTATGTTCATTGTATCGTGTGTCGCATTGTGGTGGGGTGTGTGCCCCACCCAGGCCTCGAACGGCTTCGTGTGGGCCTGAGATGGCGCCAGGCTGCACCGGCAGAGCCAGGGGCTGGAGCAGGCGGGTGAGTATAAAGAAGGGACGTGGGCAGTAGAAGGGAGCTGCGGGGAAGGAGTCTGCAGTCGCTCCCTGGGACTAGCAGGAGCCCATGGGGAAGGAGAAGCCCCGGGCCCTAGTCTGGCTGGAGGAGGCTGGCAAGCAGCCGGGGAGGGTAGACGAGCCACTGGGCTGGAGCAGGCCCAGAGAGAAGGGCTGGATTTGGATGGCCGGGGGCCTGCCTGTGGAGGAACAGCCCAAGGGAGCTGAAGAGGCTTAGAAGGGCCAAGCATAGGGTGACCAGATGTCCCAATTTTATAGGGACAGTCCCGATTTTTGGGATTTTTCTTATATAGGCATCTATTACCCCCACCCCCGTGCTGATTTTTCACACTTGCCCCCTAGCCAAGCGTGAGCGAGGCCGGGTTGGACGAGCCCAGGAAACGGCAGGCAGGAGCGGCTGGTGGGGGCAGGTTCCGGTGTAGCGGGAGGGCCCGGTTT